TCTCTCATCTACAAATCCTCTCAGTATCACATAATCATATTATCAGGGGAGGAAAAAGAAAGTGTCTGGGGGGAACTGAGCCCACTTGCTATTTCAAATGCTTCAGATAAGAGAATCTTGAGGCAATTTTGAACCAGAAGAATCTGCAAGTGAGTAAAGGGTTGGCCTGTCAGATTCATCTCTCTTCCAGATTTACAGTGCTTTGTCTATGCAGCTGTCTACCCAACCACTAAGATGCTATAATCATATATTCTTAAGGTGACAGCATAATATGCATTTCCTCTTCAGTGCACTCTGTTTCGCCTAAGGTTAAAGGCTGTTTTATAATGTGTCAGAAACTCCAGCTGCAAATTAATAGGAAGATTGACATCCCTCCTGTTTTCACCATTTAGAATGAAGATAAATCACTGTATATGAGCTAATTGTTAGGTGAGTATTTCAACTGCGTTTCACCAAACCCTGTGAAGCTTCAGTCTTGACATTCAATGTAAGTACCATCCATATGCCATTGAAAAACATTTAAATAAAATTCCTTTAAATGCCTTTAAGAGGAAGAAAAAATACCTAAATGGTCTGTTGTTCTTTAAGTCTGGTTTCAATATCAACTCCATTCTCCCCTCACACCCAACCCCATTCTTTTTTTCCTGGGCAAACAACGAATGCTTTCTAGACTCCATTTACTTTGGTTTTACGAAAAAAAAAATGTTTTAACTGCTACCAAATATGGCACTCTTTTCTTACAGCATACTCACTACTCCTTTGTCCCCAACCAAATGGTGGCTATTGATTGTGTGTGGCTATGAGAAAATACATTCTTTTAGTGCTCTATATCCCAGATGGCAAGATGTTCACTAGAGGAAGGTGGGAGAGATGACGGGCATTAAACCTGAAAACAGACATTTTGGAAGACGATTATGGGAAATAAGGATGTTAAGACAACAAACAGTAATCACTAATTGTATACAAAAGCACATTTACTCTTCACATTACCACAACAACAGTCAGGTACCACTAACAACAGACTCTTGGTCATCAGACACAAGAAGTTGTTTGAGGCCAGAACTTCCATCATCTGTCAGAGTGAGACCGATTCTAATCCCTTCATTTCATGCCTTGAAATTGAAGACCAAAAGCATCTCTTATTTCTAATCACACTCCTAATTACAGAAACGCAGGCGTGCACCCCTGCTGGAGAAGCGGCTGCCAGTATTTCCATTATCAATTCCCATCTTCGGGGCTTATTACTAAAGCATTCGCTCTGGGGAGACTGTTGGCAGAGAGTGGCTCAGCATGGAGAAGAACATGTTTGACAAAATTTGGCACCAAGCGAGGAGAGCTCAACAGCACATACAATGAGAAACAAAAGCAACCCCGAAAAGTCAGGGAAACCCAGGGCTTCTGGGTCTAGAGAGAGCAGCAACTCAAGTCAGGTTTAATGGACAAATGGAAAAGAAAATATATATATATATATATATATATATATATATATATATATATATATATATATATATATATATATATGTATATATATATATACATATATATATTTATATATGTGTGTATATATATATATATACACACATATATATATTTATATATGTATATATATATATATATATTTGAGTTCCGATGATTTGACCTAACGTCGGTAACAAGTTAGAAGAGAGGAAACATGATCCACCCATCTGTCTCACCATAAGTAAATATTGGCAGGTATCAAATTCAAACATCTATTAGGAACTGCTCCTATTCCAGCCTTGGCTTGGAACCTGGGGGGAAAAAGGTAACCTTTGCAGAAATACAAGCTTGTTTTGAACCCTGCTGGCATCTAATGGCTGCTAGTTTCTTCTGAATTGTAGGTCAGCTGCCAACTCCTATAGGATATCTTTTCTAATTCCTCCAGGTATCTGCACATGCTCCATCTTGAAACTGCTTGTTCAAACCCAGCCTTAGACACATACTGTGTGACCCTGCATAAGTCACTTAATCTCTGTCTGCTTCAGTTTCCTCATCTGCAAAATGGGTATAATAATAGCATATACCTCACAAGGCCTCATGAGAATCAAGTGAGATAGCATCTGTAAAGCGCTCAGCACAATGCAGGGTACACAAGCTATTAGTCTTATTTTACTTAGCTAGTATTTACAGATATCCCTTCTACATAGTGACTTTCCCCATTGTTTCAGTTTTGATATACTGAGGGATATATATGAGCATAGGAAATTAAATGGGAATTTGTGGGGAGTTTTGTGGAAGCCACAGATGACCCATGAAGGCCAGAAGATGACACAGAGCACATGACCAAATATTTAACCCAAATTTTAAAATAAGTTACTGTCAATACCCCATAAAAGAAAAAGAAAAAATTCAGACTTCTCTGGTATGAACAGAGGACCAAAAAATTTCATGTAAATTTTCCAGATCCCTGGGGCACCGTGTCCCTAACCCCCTATGTGGAAGGGATAACTATGCAGGTAGAGCTTTAAGGCCTACAGAAGATTTTATTAATATTATTCATTTGATTCTCACTGTAGTCCTGAGAGGCAGGTGCTATTTTTATCCCCCATTTTATAGATGATGAAAACAGGGTGGACAAAAAAGGAGCTTGCCCAGTATCACACAACTAGAGTCTGAGGCCAGATTTGAACTGAGATCTTCCTGATTCTACGTATACTTTATATCTACTGTGCTTGACACCCAGCTACCTCCAAATTAGGCATTTAGCTCCTTGTATATATGTTGGGTCCCTTCAATATAATGCAAGCTACTTGAGAGCAGGGACTCTCTTCTTTCCATCCCTGTATCTCTGATTCCTAAAGTGCCTTGCACAAGAAGTATTTGATCAACATTTGTAGAAATTAATTTGCAGTCCATTTGGACACTTATTTATTAACTTGTGTCATATTTACTGCGAGCCTAAGTGCCTACTTGATTCCCTCCGATTTTAATTAAGAAATGACAGAACATAACCACGCTCCATCCTCCAACGTGAATTCAACCAGAAATTTGAAGCCAAGTTTAATTGTCATTTTTTCAGTGATGTAGATGCCTCCAAGGTTGTGATCACCAAACTCATTTGAGCCAACTCTTGATTTTCTGCTTCAGTGGAAGGTAAACGGTTCCACAAAACAAATGTGGCTCGAGAGAACATGGAAAGCTTCTCAGGCCTTCGCCATGCTCAGCCTTCCCCCTGCTCACTCCATCTTGGAAAAGAACCTTTCAGAGTAAGCACCACTCTGGTTCAAAGCACAATTCTAAATTTCAAATCAGTTTGATAATCATTGATTCAGCATCTACCAAGTGACAGGCAACATACTCAGGGCTAGGGATGTGGAGACAAAAAGGAAATTGTTTCTGTCTTCAAGAAGCCTACATTCAACTTAGCTCATAATCTTTTTAAAAGCGAGAAATCATTATATTAACAGCTCAGAGATTCATTCATTAGAGGTAAAAGAAGCGAATTTAGACATAATCTAGCCTTATACCCTCATTTTAAAACAGATGAAAAAAAAAAAACTGAGGCTCAGCAAAGTTGTGACTTTTCCAAGGTCATCCAGGTAGGAAAGAACACAGCCAGGACTAGAATGCAGCCCCTTTGTCCCCAAGTCCAAGCTCACTGCATTCCATCATTTTCTTCTGGCTCTTCTGGGTTCAGATAAACAAAGATTCTATTAGTTTTTTTGCTTTGTTTTTAATTATGGTAATAAACACAGTGATCAAAAGGGATAAAAAATCCAAATGAATATTCCTGATTCAATTCTCACCTTTTCTTTTGCTTCTCATCTTGGCTCATACCCCCGAAAGGCTGGATGGGGACACTGAGATTAACAGGTCATAGTTTTCAAGTCAGAAGAGATGTTAGAGACCATCTCACCCAAATCTCACATTTTATAGATAGGTATCCTGAGGCCCAGAAAGGCTGTCATCTTTCCAACGTAAAATAGCTTGTTAGTGGCAAAGCTACCTCAGCAGCTAGAACTTCTTACTTCCATCCCATGGCTTCTTCCACAGCCTCTTCATTTGTTTTGCCCCAAAATGATAATAAATATTATATATATATATATATATGATTTTATATTACATAATATAATATAACATACATAATATAATATAATATATATAATATAATATATATATATACATATATATACATACACATATATATATATATATAATATATATATATATATATATATATATATATATATGATTTTATTCTCACCACAATCCTATAGGTAGGTGATTTTATTATCCCCATTTTTGATATGGGGAAACTCCAGGCCCAGCACTCTATCCACCTCTCCATCTAGCTGCCCTTGCTGTCATTAGAATGTTTTTTTTAATTAATTTTTAAAAAATTAATAAGCTTTTTTTTCTCCCAAATTATCCCCATTGGAGCAAAACTCATTAAAGGTGTTTATACAAAATCTAAATAAACCTAGTAATTTATGTTGCAGAGTGGATAAGAGTTCATTACTAGATGGCCTTTGACTTCACTCATTCATTCATTTATGCAATAAGCATTTATTTCATGCCCACTCTTCAGGCTTTCAGACTCTTGTCCTTTGACTTCACTCATTCATTCATTTATGCAATAAGCATTTATTTCATGCCCACTCTTCAGGCTTTCAGACTCTTGTTCTTCAGCATTTTAGTCATTTACCTTTCTTGACAAAGGTACTAGAGTAGTTTGCCATTTCCTTCTCCAGCCCATTTTGGAAACTAAGGCAAACAGGATTAGGTGACTTGCCCAGGGTTACACAGCTAGTAAGTGTCTGAGACCAGATTTGAACTTGGGAAGATGAGTCTTCCTGACTAGGCTCAGCACTCTATCCTCAGTGCCACCTAGCTCCCCCCCGCCAGATTCTGTAGCTAGGAACAATGCATAGAAATGGCAGAAGAATAGATTATGGTTCATGTTCCAAAAAACAAATGTTTATACTATTTAGAATAGTCCCAAAGTGAAACGGGCAACCTTCAGAGATAATTATATTCCTCACCTTTGAAGTCGAGGCTGGATGGTCATTTGTTGGTGATGCGGAAGATGGAAACTCCTGTTCAGGTGTGGGTTGGCCCCAAATGGTCCTTCCAATTCTGAGATTCTGTTCGTTATTGTTGTTGTTTTCAGCTTTCTCTATAAGAAATATGGCAATTCATGAGTGATACATACCAAAAAAAATTATGAAACTATTTTAAAAACATTAGACACAAGTCAAAGTCAGGGGGCTGGTATCACCCTCAAGAAATCATTGGTTATATCCATTCAAGAGACAACTCTGAGTAATCATTGGGAGTGAATACCAGTTGCTTTCTTAAAAGATAGCTATCCAGTGAGAAAAGTGTATTCCCTCTTAGGTAGCTCATTCCATGGTAAAAAAAAAAACCCTCTTTATTTAAACTAGCTTCTTCTTACTCTCGTTTGAGAAACTTACTCTCCATTTGACTTGTGCTAAGAGATAAACAGCTAGTTACAATCTTCCTAAAAGGTCATGCTAATCTATCCCTTTCTGACAGAATATAGACTCTTCTCATAAAGTATACAGTAAAGACTTTAGCAAGCCAGAATTTAATCAAGCTAAATGGAGTTAATAAAGAAACCAAAAGTAATTGAAACTATGAAAACAGGCCCTTCCCTGTTTGGTTTATAAAATGTGTTGTCCAAGTCAGCGCTGATTCAAGTATCTTTTTGGATCCAAGAGTATGCCATAGAACCCAGTGGATTTCTTTTGCAGGTTAAATCTCTCAGAAATAGCAGGCCTGGATGAAATTTAACATGAGAAAAACTAGCCAAAGTCCTAAGACAGCATTGGTACCATTATCATTAGCAATCTTAGGATGATCTCCTTTGGACCAAGTTCAATTTTGCTATTTATACATGGCTAGGTTTCTTTCCTGCTGCCAGAAACAAGATGGATGGGCTCCGTTCCTTCCTGTGTGATTTGCGGATTCCTTCCAATGATGGAACAACTGTCTTTTGTCTTCTTTTCCCATCTCTACCACCACATTCCCTTACATTAAATTGCACATATGCTTTGTCTGCCCAACGCCCACACCCTTCCTTGTTACCAGGAACAGTTTTCTTTTCTTTTCTTTTTTCATAGACGTATGACTAGGTTTTCCTAAATGAATCTCCTATTCTTGCATTTGGCCTTTTTCCTTTTTTTTTCCTTGAGAGAGAACACAAAAGCTCTGGGCATGGGAAACATGTACATTTAGTAAAGAGTCTGGACCACATTTTGTTAATAAAATTTCTTTTTACATTAAGTAAAAACACATGGAAAGTCAGAGAGAGAGAGAGAGAGAGAGAGAGAGAGAGAGAGAGAGAGAGAGAGAGAGAAAGAGAATTCAGCTCTTTGCCAATATATGCTTACAACCAGAAAAGTATTAATCCAAGGGAAATTAAAATGGATAAAGTAAAAATTAAAAAAAAAACTTTTATCCTTTTCTGTATATGTATGTAAACATATACATATATGTGTATACACATATATACTATATACATAGATATGGACACACATACATATGCATACGTGTATGTGTGTGCACAGTGAAAGGCAAAGGTCCTGTAAATGGAATTGGAAGACATGTAAAGATGTGAACAACTAGTTTCTGTCTTAGGAATTCACATCCTAATTCTACCACTTATTCCCATTATCATTTTGAGCAAGCTCCTTAAAATCTTTGGGCCTCTATGCCCTATCTATAAAAGAAGGAAGATGTGTGAGGTGACCTCTAAGGTCCCTTCCGGTTCTAAGTCTTTGATCCCATGTACTACACAACATGTCAGGGGCAAGAGGGGCTGGCAAGGTCATACAGTGAATAAAGAGCAGTCCTTGGAGTCCACAAGACCTGGATTCAAGTCTTGCTGCTGACACAGACTAGCTCTGTGACCCTGGGCAAACCACTAAACCTTTGAGCAGTCCTGGGCAACTATTCTCTAAGACCAGACATTATAGATGAGTTACTAATGAGAAACCATGGAACAAGTTTCCATACCAGTACTTCCCCATACAGATTAAAATATAGACCTAAAACAAAATATACACAATATAATTCAGGTCTTGGTATCTTGGTGTCGATCTGTCTCTATGTATGTGTGCATATGTGTGTGTACACACAGGTGTATATATGTGTACGTACATCCACAGATATATGATATACAATACATGTACATACATACAATATATAATATAGTACTGCATAGATAGGCAGGCAGATAGATAAATAGATGAGATTATGTCACTCTATGGCAATCCTAGGTTGGAATTTCACTCCATCTGTGCAGAATGATGACTCCATTGCAATGTATATACATACGAAGTTGCCTAAGGAAGTAAGAGATTAAGTGACTAAGCTCCTATGTTTCAAAGGCATGATTTGAACATAGATTACCCATATTTTAAGGCCAATTGTTCTATCAATTATGCAACACTTCCTCTCATCTATCTATCTATCTATCTATCTATCTATCTATCTATCTATCTGTGTGTGTATTTCTCTAGAATGGAGGTGTACAAAGTTTTCAAAATGCACATATGCATATTTTCCTCCCATATGTGCACTGTTTTTTTTTTCTTTTTTCTTTTTTTACACCAAAATCTAAATTACATGTCCATTTCAGGGAATAGCTGGATTTTTTTCCTCCAGTAGGGATGAGAGCAGAAACTTCTTCCAGTCAGGGGCAGGAAGCATTATTCCCAAGGGTTCAGCTAAGAGGTGATACCTTAGTACTCATAATTTTGTCAGGCCCCAACCAGACTGTGGGCATGAAACCTCATGTAACTTGGACTCTGATGAATTTCTTAGATGTGATTACACACAAGGCAAGAATTCTTGCCCATAATAGCTTCTCAAACCATTTTATGTGAGACCTTCAACAACCCTCTCAGTTCCAGAAGTTAAAAGTGCACACTTCGTCTGGGTTGGTTTGGGATGGAAAATATAAGGAAAACCATGCAATAGGTTGAACTGATGAGTAAACCACTTACCATTATCAAAATAATCCATCTTCCCTCTTGAAGAGACTCCTGCTACTCGTAATTAAATAACATTCTGGAAACACAATCCAATACACACCAAAAGATTTACACACTCTTAAGCATAACCTGATCATAATTTCATTCTTTTTTTCCACTTTTTCCAGGGCCATCCAAATATGTGGAGAAAAGGCTTTTGTGCAAAACATTGACAATGATTCTGCCACATTTCCCACCCATGGCTTTTAAATCTAGACTTGTGATTTCTTCAATGTAAGGAATTCCTAGTGTAGACAGTCCATCCATTGATTTGGAACAGAAATTCCCCTTTAGTTTACAATCTTAAAGAGCTACTTAAAACATTAAGAGGTCAAGTCATTTACCCATGGTCATACTGTCATTATGACTAAGATGTAAGATTTTGACATGGATGAACTGACTGCTGACTGCAAAATCAACCCTCTACACACTACACCATGCTCCATCTCTTCATCTGTTATTACTGTAACAAAACACTTTCTGTAATTCTCATGAAACACCCAGTATTGTGATATATATCATGGACACACTCTAAAAATACTTGGTGATTGACATCAAGGGACAGGAGAGCAAATGAAATGTTCATCAAGTGGGGGAATAGTTCCCTCACGTTACATATGGTACTCAAATTATGTTATAAAACTTTTGACAGGAATGGAATTTAAGTCTTAAATAAATAAAGGGATATTTCAAAATGCTAATGCAGCTGTGATCTTATAGATGTGAGCAGGACCTTTAGAATGTAGAGCACTAGCTGATGAATTCTTTTGTTATGGAAACCATAAAACAATGAATTTAATCTAATTATTTTATTTAATTCAGCAATAAGAAAGAATACTGGACTCAGAGTTAGGAAGACCATGGCTCGAACCTTACCCTTGACCCTTTGCTAGCTGCGCAACAATGCACCAGTCATCAAATCTCTCAGCCTATTTCTTTAGCCATAAAATAGGAACATTAACATCAGCAGCATTAAACTCACAGCATGGTTTAAAGTCCAAATGATATAACGTATGTAAAGTATTATGCAAACTTTGGAGCACAACACTGTACATGGTTGGTACCACTTTTGTTATTATTATTAGACAGCCAGACATCATGGATAGAAAGTTTGTACTTCAAACATCTGAACACAGCTTTCTGTGTTGCCTCCTCTCCAGAATAACCATCCCCAGTTCCTCTGACCTGTCATCATATGATACAGGTTCCACATTCCTCACCACACTGATTGTCCTCCTCTGCCAACTCTACCCCTTATCATTGTCTGTTAACTGTGGCATCCAGAACCAAATTAACAGAAGATTCCTTACACACCACTTCCAATTTATTTTATTCTCTCATTGGAGTTGCAGTGGTTTCAAAGACAAAAATGTACCTTGATTTTTCACTTCTATGGAATTTTTGACATCTGTTGAAGATTTGTTTATAAATATGGAAACCCACTTTTATTCCAACGTTGTAAAATATGTTTCCTAAGAGTTATTGCAATAACAATGGATCTAAAAGCATTTTTTAAAATTAAGACTTGAGAATACCATAAAGAATGTCCATGGGTTCTTCCTGAACACAATTTTTCCGGGTTGATATTGCATTTTAAATCTTCTATCATGACTGATACTTAACCCTAGGAATACTTTTGTATTTATTTTCCCTCTTCAAAGGGTTTATCCCATCTTCAATAATGTCTACTGATAACTACCAAGGCTGGTTAAAATGGGGCATGGGATCATATTGGCTTCTTAAGTCAAACTGAAGGTATGCTCTGAATCCTTTGAAACCTCCTTAAAATGATAACCAGATCTCTAGTTTTCTGGAAAATATGGGGCAAGGAGAAAAAAACAAAGAAAAAAATCAAAGCGAACAAAGCCAAAATGCCTAAGTGTCAGGAAGAATCACTCGATCTGAATGAGTTTCTTATTTTCCTTAAAGTAAAGGGGAGTTGGACAAGAGAGAGAAGCATCAAGCTATATCCATCTTTATTTCTCGATATTCACCCATCAAGTGCCACAGATCATTTCAAGTCTTAAGGTAATAAACATAAGATCACTCACTTTAATACTCTTTAAATTTACTGTCACAAATTAAAGATTCTACTGTCATTATCATCATCATTACCATC